CTACGAGTCGACTCCCACCAAATTAATCTGACTCTAATCTTTTTCTCTGAGCTCGTAGGAAAGAAAGAAAATGATCTGATCATTAGCGGCGTTGTGTAATCACTCACTGCTGATATGTAGATTGAACTAATTGTACACAAGTTGGGAAATGAAATCATAAAAATGATGCTCCACTGTAAATGTGTTGTTTGAATGTGAAACCTCTCGAATGCCCAAAGGTGGATTTAAAAAGTTTGTGGGTTTTTTCTTTTCCTCTGGAACTGGAGGCTGGGATCAGTTCTCCGTGGTCACACTGGATTCCAGCGGTGACGAGCTGTCACGGTGGAGAAAGTATCAAAACCACTCATACAACATAATCCACTTATCCGCCAATCATCCATATACGCTCATTATGCTCCAAACACTCATATGTTTTAGCCGGAGTTGGAATAAATACGCTGCTTTCATCTGGGTTTACACGTATGACCTCGCGGCTCAGTCACTGATTATACTGTAAACCAGACACAGACACATGTAAGTGGATCAGACTGATGCTAAATGACACAGAGATTCCACAATAATCAGCGTCCGGACCACAACACCGATCAGAAATCATCGCTGATCGGGAAACGTTTGAGTTTTCATTGGAACGTTGGATGAAAATCAGAAAACAAAATGTTTTGGGACGAGGCCCTGAGAATGACTCGCGATTGGTCGAGTTCAATTTTGACACTTCACTTTGTTTTTATAACTACCTTAAAACGACGGAAACCAACTTTGGACTTTTTGATTTTGTCCATGTCCCATCCGCTAGCATGGAGGAGGTGAGGTTTATGACCTATACTGCAGCCGGCCACCAGAGGATAATTAAGACACTTATGACGCTGTCATGTCTTTAAACAGAGTCAAAGATCTGGGCTCGAGACCCGCTCTCTCTCTCTAAATGCACACACACTGATAAATGGGAGTTTGGCACAAGGTTCCTCACACTCTCTCTCACCTTCCTACAGCTGACTGGTTTATCTTCCCTTATATAACTTATTGAAGTCACTTGTGTGGGAGCAGATAACATCAGTGTTTATTTAAATTGGACGTCGCCTCCTGCAACAGAGAGACTAAAGCATGAAGTGATCTGTGAGTAAACCTGTTAATTACTGGAAAGAGAAAAGTAAGAGAAACCAAATTATTGTGTTTTTTAACAGGAAAATAGTTATTTCAAGTTTTTACGTGTGTGTGTGTGTGTGTGTGTGTGTGTGTACATCAAGAAGTAGAGGAGAGGATTATCTACACACAGCTAATCTTGTTATTCCACATTAAAAAGAGAGATAAAGAAACACTTCCTCAAACACTTATAGTGACACACACACACACACACACACACACACACACACACACACATGGCTCTTCTGTCTCCACCCTCTGATCAGACCGGAGACAGGAGCTTTTAGTGAATCAGTGTAAACGGCAGCAGGAGACGTGTTTGGCTGCAGAGACACAGAGCGACTGTCTTCACCTCAGTTTAAACTCAGAGTAAATAAGCACACTTTCATTCATTTGCACTAAAGGGGTACTCCGTGGACTTTCAAGAAACAATTGTCGAGAGGAGATGACTTCATCCTGAGACAGAAACATCATCAACGCACCCACTCGCTCTTTGTGAATTCTCCGAACATTTTCCTTCTGTATTCTCACACGGGCTCAGACGTTCTCCAGAGTTGTTTCCTGAAAAACAACTCTGGAGAACGTCCATAGCATCCGACTGTGTAATGAAAGGTCCTCACAGAGATACATGTGTGATTAAATGTGTGTGAGTGTGAACGTGCATCTGTATACGAGCTGTGATGTGACACAGCTTGACGATCTGAGTTTTTTCTGGTCTTCCTGCGATAGAGAGAGAACGTGAGAGTTTGTATTGTACGTGGTGAGAGTGTGTGTGTGTGTGTGTGAGATCCAGATCTGGTGCATATGGTGAACATGTTTTTAATTTGATGAAAACCAATTCAATAAGTCTGCTCAGCTGCAGTGACCCAGTTTATCTCTAATCTCATTCACATAAACAGGATCAGCGTAACTTCTCAGGTGTCAAAGCACAGGGACGGTGTCGGTGAAACTGAGGCTCCAGGCAACAGAGAGTCAGCTGAGTGTGTGTGTGTGTGTGTGTGTCTGTGTGTGTGTGTGTGTGTGTGTGTGTTCTACGCATATCCAGACAATTTGGGAGAATGTAATTTTACGTGACAAAATCATCCCACCCTAGAAAATGTAATTTCATCAAGGCTGAGCGACCGTCTCATGATCCGATCCTCCACCACGCTGCCAGGGCTCGGAGCCACGACGCTGCTGCAGAAACACCCTGATCTGCTCCGCTCACATTACATGACAGGAAAAATAAACACGTGAACCATGTGCCGGCCGAGGTTTTCAGTGAACAAACAAGTTATCTCACTCACAATGAATCCTCATGACGACAGCGTGGTCACAGCCATAATGTTTTTACCATCCAAGGTAGACGGACCACAAACTACGAGAAGTCTGTGTCGTATCGATTTTGTTTTATTCAAGATGTCAAGTGGAAGTACTACACTACCCACAATCCTCAGGTGTAATGGAGAGATAGCTGTGATTGGTGGAGCCCACTGTTACCATGGAAAATAGAGATGAGGAGAAGTGTCCAAAAGGGTGAAACTCAGTAGGTCTGCAATGGTTCATGGGACATGCAGCTGCTTCACTTTGAAAATAATTTTCTTTTTCCATTTTGTTTTGCTCTGAATCAAATTATGGTCGTGATGCATCTCGAAGTTGTTTGACCTCGATCCTGGTTTCAAACTGTTTCCGTAAAGATTTTCTGAGAGAATGAAGAGAAACCAGAGCAGTTCTAAAAGTGGGCGTTGCTGTTTCGCTCCATTAGAGACGCCTCGTCTTCATTTACAGTCGATGCTCTTTACTGCACGATTCCTAAAGTGTGACAGGAGCCATGTGAGAGTCTTTGTCTCCCGCCTCACGCCAGAGTGAACCTCTGTCAGACCTCAGAGCTGGAAATGGGATACAGTGCTTTCTTTAAACGTGTGATCTAATATAATCCCTTCATACAGAGGAACTATTAAATGGGAAGTGCAGGATATCAAGCTGAGTAAATAAAAGCTCTCTTTGTAGGTTTAACGTGTCATCACTTTAACTGCACCAGAGAAGAAGTGAAATAATTATCTTGGGTGGATTTAGACTCTGCAGCTCCACCCATGAAAATCCTAAATGTTTTTTTTTTTTTTTTTCATTTTATTGCATCATGACCCAGCATGCATCAAGAAACAGAGTGAAACCCGAGGATCCAGCTGTGTCACACGGCGGTCAGTGCTGCATCCATACGAGGTGAAGACATGAGGTGCAAGCTCAGGGAGAGGTTCTTCATTATTATTATTATTATTAATTCTTTTTTATTATTCATTTGTGTGAAAAGAGCAAAGATAGGAGACATGGGTAAACATTACATCAAACACTGTTTTTTTATTCTGCACTTTTGAATTTGTTCATGTTTTCACTTTTTAAATAGATTTTGTTTTTTCAATGATCATGTGTTGGGATTCTTTTCTATCCTCGTGCTGCCTCCTCCTGGAAGAGGTCAGTAATTGCAATGCTCAAAATTGAGCACATTTGAAATCACAGTAGTTGATTTAAAATAAATACAAATAAATAAATAAAGTTATTTTGGACACGGTTGAGTTATTGGTTATTTCTCCCACTTTTCTGAGCATCTCAACAACAATGTGTTGACTTAATATTTTATCAAACACCGTCTCACCATTCAGACTTTTGTGCTGGTTTGTTTTTTTTGTTTTTTTTATAGAAAACAACAGAAGCTTCCACAAAAACAACTGTGCATTAATATCTTTGTTGTATTTGTTCCAATAAAACTGTGAAGCTCCGGAGAAGTAAATGTTTCCATGATCACTGAAGATCCAGGAGTCTGCAGCAGTTCTCTGTCCCCGTGCTGCCCCCTGCTGGAAGAGGTCAGCAAGTACAATACTGAGCGTAAACTACACATGCCCCCTCCTGGTAGAGGAGCGTTAGTGAGGACAATGCCCAGAGGCAACTAGACAGAAGTGTTGACTGCACTCACACAACCTTCATAGTTGGAGTTTGAAGTCTCCTGATTCAATCTTTGCAAAGTACTTTAGAATTTCAATATCACTGCAAGAACTACTTCAGACTTGTATCTAATGTTCCAAAGTGTTTTTTTATGTGAAAATTACGACTGCAAACTTTTTTATTAATAGAATAAACTTTTCCATGTTTAACTTTGTTTTCACAACTATTCCACTCATTCTTAAAATCCTACAGTTTCAGTTTTTTTTTATTTCTACTCATATACAGTACTAAAAAACAAAGTTAAGTCAAGTAGAGTAAAACAATTTTTTTTACAATTTAAATTAATGCAACATACAAAGCTGCAGAGCTGGTGTCTATCTTTCACACCAGTGTTGGTCGAGGTCAGAATATATAGAGAGGAGAGGGATGTGGGTGAGTTTGAGTAGAATTAAAATTAAAAAGCTGCGCTGGCAATTTCCCAAAATGACACCACATGAAGAATCTTCAATATATGAATAATAATGAAAAGTGGACCTGTGACAGTTTTAGACTTCCTGCCACGCGATGATGCTTCACTAACGACTGCGGACGACCACTTGTCCGTCTGTTTATTTCTCTCTGTCTGGCTCATGACCTCTTAACTGTTGCAGTGTCTGGTCAGAGCAAATCATCAGTCACAGTGTCACAGGTCCTGGAAGTTCAAAGGTCAAACTCTGACCTCGGAAAACCTGGAAACCTGGAACTTGCCCCGTCTGCTACAAACACACACACACACACACACACACACTGGTCAACTGGAGGGCAATCAGAGGTGATCAGACATTAACGTTGAGCTTGAGACACAAACACACACAGATGTTATGAAGCTCTAAAAATAGAGTTCAAGGGATTTTATTCTTTTCTTTTATAAACTTTTTCACTGAGTTAAAAAAAACATGAACAAAAACCACAATGTGTTGAGTTGAATGACTTTTATTTTGGAGGCACTTTCCATTCACACAAAAGTTGAAAAACTAAGATATAAATCACATCCTCTTCATCATTATGTTCACGTGTTTGTTTTTTGTACAGGAGAAATGAAACTGCATTTGATCTGTATTTCTCATTCACCTCGAGACTGTTTCACATTTCTCACAAGCTTCTCAAGTTCCACGGGAAAAGAATAAGTTCATGTGGAATCCCGCTGTCTGAACCGCAGCCGTGTAAAATACAAACCAACCTCGGACCTATTCTTGTAGAACCGAGTGGAAAAGATGGAAAAGCAAAGTGTAAATAAATAAGTTTCAAGACGTTTCCTACCTGCTGTAGTGAAGTGCCTGACGTTTAAACACTGGCCTTTAATCTTAAGAGTTCATTCTCATCATCAATATTTTTATTCGACCCAGTTGATCATTCAAATCCGACAGCAAATCTTCTTTACGGTGATTTCTGGGTCTGAGTCGTTTATTTGTGCAGTTGACGCATCTTAATCCAACTCCTCTGATCTCAAACCAGCATCGTGCTACAATGTACAAGCAGGAATATTAACGGGGAGAATCAAGAGGGGACACGTATCTGTACAATATGTGAATATATTGAGCTTTTAGTTTCTCAGTGCTACAGAGAGGGAATGGCGGACGAGAATGTACAAGAGGAGTTGATAAGAGACAGAGTCGTTATTCTCAGGCCTTCAGGAGCTCTTGTTTTCAAAGTAGGTCTGTTCGATGCGTCTGCAGAACGACAGCAGGTTGCTGTAGCTCTTGATCCGCTCCGCCAGCTCAGTGCTGGTCAGTCGGGTCGTCAGTATGGTGAACAGGTGACCGAACACCAAGGCGTCCAGCTCTGTGGGCCTGCGACACACACACACACACACACACACACACACACACAGTAAGGGTTACTGCTAAAATAAACAATTTGATTCAACACTTCACTTCAGTTTTAGTTAAGTCTAGTTTTCTAACTTAAAGTTTAGGTCAGCAATGTTAGCATGCACAAGTTGCACTATACACTTCCCTTCAGACGAAAACATAGAAGACATTAAATCAACCACGTACTGTTTATTAAAGAAGAACGGTTGTGTTCCCAGCCTCTGAGAGAGAGCCTGGCAGCACTGACTGACATCTTCATAAACCTGAAACACACGAGCAGAGAAAAGGTTTTTAGATTTTTGTCATCAACATGTTTTGAGACCAGAAGTATCTGGGAAACGTGCGGTCCCCCCCGGTGGCAGCTCACCTGCTCCAGCGTTTTCCCTCCCCAGCCGATGGCGTTCATCTTCCTCCGAACCTCCCACTGCTTCTGATAGGCCAGGACATTACTCAGCGGCCACGAGTACGGACTGCTGTACCTAGGACGGGAAATCTACACAAAACACACACACACACACACACACACTGATTAAGAATCATTCAGAATAACTGATGAAAATAGAGACGAGAAAACTGTCCACACCTCAGCAGCTGTAGCATCGTCACACCACTGGATGTACAACTGTAGAGAGGAGAAGAGACTTCAGTGATTGGTTACTAATATCCAGTGTGTGTGTGTGTGTGTGTGTGTGTGTGTGTGTGTACCTCAGCAGTAAGCAGCATGTTGTTGACCAGCTCCATGTACGCTTTCATTTCAGCTCTTTGAACATCATCCAACCCGTCGCTCAGGGAATGACCCTGAAACACAGAGACGATCTGTTGTCCTCCACATCTGAGTGAATCCTCCTTCAACACTGATAACGATCTCTGAACAACAAGCAGACAGTAAAATACCAATGACAGTGTTTGTGTTACTTACCTTTGCTTTGGTGAATTGTACTATTGGCCCAAGTTCTGACACCACCTGGTTTCCTACATGAATAAAAGGGATCTTACCTGCAGAGACACACACACACACACACACACACAGACACACACATTCACACACAGACACACACAGACAAAGATAGGGGGAGAAGAGTAAAGAAAGATTGTTTTCTTAGTTTGTGTGTCTCCGTGATTCAATCAAGTGAAAACAAGATTATTTTGTTATTTCTCAGTGGAATGGACGACAGCGAAGAGACTGAGAGGACAACATCATTAGGAGAGGAGAAGATTTGCCTCTGCAGCAGCTCGTGCACTCACCAGAAGGAGACATATATTCAGCATTAGCTCTGCAAACCACCTGCACAGGTAAACCACACATCCTGAGGTAGGCCTGCACAGGAGAGAAACACGAGGAGGTCAGTGAGTGGTGGAATAATAACTGACCTTCAAAGTAAACTAATTAAATTAAACTGATTTACTGCACTTTATATGAACTTCATTGACACATGTAATGCTATTATTTTCTCAAGTACCCTCATTGAACTTTGTGCGTTCTATAACGTGTACACGGTTCCATGCACACCGATATATTAACTGAGAACAGATCTTCACCTGCACAGCGAGAGACGAGGCGCAGTCTGAGAGCAGAATCTGATCCTCTGTAAGACAGACAAAAAAAAAAAAAAGAAACATCACGTAAACGACTACATGAATAGCGATCGTTCATTCTGCGTGTGTGTTTCAGCTCAGCGCTGATTTACCCTTCAGAGGCTGGTACAAGGTCGCACTCTCAGGCCACGGCTCAGCAGCTGTCAAACACAAATCACACACACACACACACGTTTGTTTATGATTTTAACAGCTGACATTCAGCTCATGTCACCGTCAAACACAATTATAGTTAATTTAAATGTGAATTAACGTAAAAAGGCACAAACTCCACGATGAATATTCGCGTGTCTGAAGCCAGTTTTTAAATCATTAATATGATCATATACAATTAAACACGTGAAGGAGATTAACCTGGAACACGTGACTGAGCTGTCAGGTGACAGGTGAGCTCTCGCGATAGAAAACGCGAGTAAAACTTTAACTTCTATATAAACTGAGTCAGAATCCAAGATGGCCGTTTGTTGATTTGCGCTGCCAGCTGCAGCAGAGCAGCTCGTGTCTGGAGCTCGCGTCTGAGTCTGAATATTCAAATAAAATCTCATGAGCTCTTGGGATTGAATCGTGTTTCTAACTCGCTGCGATGGTTTCAAAGCTCCCGAGCAGGTTTGTGTTCTAATCGTGAATCGTTGATCTGCAGAAACACTCGATGTTCCCCGGGTTGACGTGTAGGACGAACGTTAGCATTGTCAGCTAGGTGGCTAATGGTGGCTAAAGCTAAGATTTACCTGCCATCTGCGACACGAAGGCTTCAGCCGCCAGAGACATGACGCTGCTGGAGGTTCCTCAGCTCAGAATAACGACTCTCAAGGATTATTAATGATTATTCACTCGGCTGGTGTCACGGTTCACCGCAGGGGGAGGACAAGTGCAGGTTCTGCAGTCATCGACTGGTCCGGCTGCCTTAAATGTCCCGAGGAGAAACTGTGGCGCAGATTGTTAGTTCCTAGGCTGTGACAGCTGCAGCGTGTGGGATGAAGGGATGGATAGATAGATAGATTGTTGGTTCATGTTTTATTTTTAGTGCAAACTGATTTGACAATTAATGGAGTTTGTTTAATACTTGTTCTCATGATTATTTCCTGTCACGACAATTCAGTGTGTGTCACTCACTTTGGTTATAGGACTAACCTCAAATATCATCAATCTCATTATACCAAATAGGACTTTACTTTCATCCAGTCATCCCTCTGTTTCCCCATCCTCTTTATAACATATCCTCTTCCTCTATTCCCTCCTTCATCACTTCTTGGTTAAAATGGCCGTTATAACAGAACCATGCTGAAAACAAAACAGAAAATCTTCGAGAAAAAGAAGACCAGGTTGAGATTAATTTAAAATGTGCTGTGTGTTGTTTTCTCTACTTGAGAACATCTCAAAGTTTTTCAAGTCCAAATAAAACTAATGACTGGTCGTTTCTCTCTTTCAGGCTGCAGTACTTAAAGCAACCAATCGGGGGCGTCCCTGCTTCACCACAGTCAGACTGGAGAAAAGGCAGGTTGGTGTGTTTAAGTCAACTCACACATCTCTGTGAAACATCAGATGTTTTCATTCAACACATAAGAGGCACAATACAAACTGTTCAGTCAGACAATCACCTGTTTTACTGGTAATCTGCATACGTGCAATACTTCCATGTTTATTGTAGAAGTTTGTGAATACAGACAAAATCGAACATGTTGCACAGAATACGATCCGAGTGTTAAATGCAGGATTTATAGTCTGACGTTGTTTCGTGGTTTAGTGTGGGTGCAGGGTTTCCACCAGCAGAGCAACACGAGCACAGTCACTGATACCTCATTTTTTCTGCTTATCAAATATCAGACATGCAGATCCTTGAAAATACTTTCTGAGTGAATATGTGAGCTGCTGTCGGTCTGACTGTTCATCTCAGTGCTCGATGGGTTGTGCAATGTCAGCCACGTTGTGCCTTCCCTGCACATTTGACCGCGTCTCGGCCGGAAGACACCAATTAATGGCGCTCATTTCCCCCCCATCCTGTAACACACACCCACACACCACACCACATCACATCACATCGTATCACAGAGGATTCCTCTCACCTAAAGTGACCCATGTTGTCCCTGTGCGTAAACGGTGCGTAAAAGCGCAAAGAAGATACTGTGCAAGATCTTTCACGTGGCTACGAAGACTTTTGGTATTTATATGGTATTTTAAAATAGAGTAACTCTTTGGCATAAGTCTCCACTGAATTGTTATAATTCAACATTTTATATTTTGGCGTGTGAAAGAAAATAAGTTTACATGCAGCTTCCCCCCTGTCTTATTTGGAGACAGATGTCTTTCAATAACGGAACATTTGGTCTTCTGTGTGTCTGTCTCTGCTTCACACGGTGTTTAAACAAACCAGCCTGTGTGGCTCTATGATGATGTGACGTCCAGGATCACAGTTTATCCGCGGAAATAATCCGGAGCACACTTTAAATCCTCCCACGGGAGAAAATCGTCACATTTGAGAAGCGTCTTCGCTCACACGAAGTTCTCCTGTAAATTATGACTGTAACAAAGAGCGTGGACAAGACAGCGGATCACTCTATTTTAAATTATGGATATGTTTTCCTTCATGTGGCCTATTATTATATATTGGTGGTGAAAGAAGATTTATTTTTGAATGATTGGTGTGTGTGTGTGTGTGTGTGTGTCTGTGTGTCTGTGTGTGTGTGTGTGTGTGTGTGTGTGTGTGTGTGTGTGTAAAAATATTTGCAGTTTTGCAACTCGAAACAGTTTTGTTTATTTTTATCAAAACATTTCCACGTATCAAAGTTTTTTTACACGATGAGTTTTACTTTTTTTTTTTTTTACAAAAATGGACACGTACAAAAGAACCGATGATGCTACGAAGAATAAAATATGCTTCTAACGTAGGCTAAAATACATTTCAATAGCATATTCAACTGGAGCATCTTTGAAAATGCAACACTTAGCTTTTTGCAGAGAGGATCATTTCAAACCTCTCGATGATGGATCCAACTACAAACCTTGCAGAAAGTTATTTTCGTTAAAACCCTGTAACCCTGAGAACATGAGTTGGACTTACAGTCAGTGTCGTACATTTAAAAACCTTAACATCCAATTTGGCTGCTTCTTAAGTCTTTGTTTGTGTATTTCCTCGTGCGTAAAAATGCAACTTCTCCTAAATGAATGACGACTTTATTCACCTTATGGAATAAGAATATCTGAATATGGCTATTTATTCTACTAAATATGCATTGTCTTCTGATATTCCTAAAATAAAAAACTGAAACATTATTAGTCCAACCATTCTGCAGGTCAGTGATTTGGTGTTGGTGTTAATTGTTTTCCCCTCTAAGCCCCAGTCTGTGGAAATAACATTTTGGTAATGTGCATATTCATTTAATCGCTTTAGATAGCTATTCTCAAACCCTGTATCGTATTTACCCTGTAGAAATAAAACCCTGTTTACTCCAAAAGACGCAATCTACCCTCGTTCACCGCAGATACAGGGAGAACTGCAGCCAATTATACAGGCTCCGCGCTCCTGTGCCTTTGTGTCTTAACTTGAAACAATTCTCTAATTGCACCAGAAATATTAGACCCTATACAGCTTAAGTGTATAGAGCTGCAAATATTAGCCGAATAATCAATTAGTACATGTGCAGAAAAAAAATAATTCAGTTGTTTTTATGCTAAATGGACAAAAATAAATGTAGGCTCTTAAATATGAAGATATTATAGAAAATATCACATTAAAGTGGATATCTGAGGTTTGGACTGTTGGGTGGAGGTCAAGGACTCAACCGTTTTCTGACATTTCACAGACTAAAGGATTAATCGATTAACATGAGAAAATAATCGGTTGAATAACTTGTGAGTAATTGCAGCCTTAAAAAGCAAAATTCAAAGCTTTTCGTTTGTGAATTAAATATCAGAGTAAAACTGAAATATCTGTACAACAGAAAGATTTGAACACAATCAAAAATTAGGCATTCAGAAAATCGATAAAGCCATTTGCTGGTCAATTGGTGGATCATTTTAAAGCAGCTAAGGATTGTTTCAGGACCGCAGTTATACCCTGGATCACTTTAGCAATGTTGGATAATGAAGGTGCGGACGTGGATGCTCGTGACGCACAAACGGCGCTTGGACCACCGGCATCACACGGTGATCACCGCCTTCACGTTGCTGCCGCTGTCGCTGTTGTCGCTGCTGCTGCTGCTGTTGTTGTTGTTGTTGTCCGTCGCCCTCTTGTTTTTGCTCCTTCCCTTGGTGTTGGGCAGCTTGTTGTCCTTCTTCCAGCGCATGCGTCGGTTCTGGAACCACACCTTCACCTGGCGCTCGGACAGGCACAGGGTGTGGGCCACCTCGACGCGGCGGCGGCGCGTCAGGTAGCGGCTGAAGTGGAACTCCTTCTCCAGCTCCAGGACCTGCTGCCGCGTGTAGGCCGTGCGCAGCCGCTTTGGTTCCGGTCCCACGTGGTTCGGATTTACTATTTATAAAGAGAGAAACATTTGAAATATAAATCATCAAGAAAAGGAGAAATAATTAAATCCAAACATGCGTAAAAATGCAATTTACGATTGTATTTTTTATTTCTAATTATAAAATGAATAGTAGTTTATTTAGCCAATTCTTCTTCTTCTAGGTTTTATACGAATCCATGATATAAACGTATGTATAATTTAATTAGTTTGAAAAACTAACATTCTAACATTTTATGTGAACATAAATAATAATGATGTGGTATTTTTTCAGTTTTGATCCTTAGTGCACTATAGGATGAGATCCAAGAAACCGAATTTTCTTTACTTTTAACTTGCAGATTTTTTTGTTCAGCTGCACACCACATACACACACGCTCACACACACACACACACACACACACACACACACAGAGCGACACACACACACTCTCTCTCTCTCACACACACACACACACACACACACACACACACACACACACACACACTGTGGCAGGGCCATAAAACTTTATAGGGGTTGTAATTCTCCCTGACTCTCACTGAGATCGTAAATAACTCGACAACAAAAAAACGAAAGAAGAAAGAAGAGGGTGCATCTGGCTTCTGAAAGATAAAAACGTGAACAAGGGAATAAGAGAAACTGAGGTGATGGAGAGATGTAATGGAGAGAGTAGAAATAGAGAGATGTAAATCTTTAGAATATCTCACCATGAGCGATGTGCACTTTCTTCATCCAGGGGTACACAACGATGGGCGGCTTGTCCTTGCCCTGGCAGGCCGTTTTCCTCTGCACCTGAACGGTCTTTGCGCACGTCATCCAGGCCTGGCACTGCAGGTCACCCGCGGGGAACCTTTCCTTAGCGGGGGCGCCTGTGCCTCTGTAGCCGGGGAAGGGCGCACTTTGGTTCTGCAAGTGGTCCTCTCCATCCTCCCGCTGATGCCCCTGCACAGAGTGAGGATAGCCGGTTTGTTGTGGTGTGTATGGAGGCGGAGGGGGTTGCATGGGTTGCTGGAAGCCCCCTCCATAACTACCACTGTCCTGGGGGTTGTTGTAATACCCCCCCTGGTCACTAAAATTACTGTAATCTTCTTCACAAGGCGGGAACTGCGGCTCAGCATATTTACAGCTCACCACGTAGGACTCCATGATTGATTTATAGCGAGGCTGGAAGGAGAATACTAATTTTTCTTTCTCGCCCCTCTCTCTGTCTCCTTTTCCCCCTCTGGCACGGAGCCATCCTGCGGCTGTCAAATAGACGGACGGCCGCGCGGGCCACGTGACCCTGCGGCCAGCCAATGGGAGGCGGCACTCCGGGTTGTTTATGTCGGACGTAATGGGATAATTTGAAGGCAGAAAAATGTTCATTATGGGACTAATGAACATTCGCCCTGGTGGGTGGAAGATGGTTAAGAATAGATGTTTGTGGACTTTGAAGAATATCGTGAAGGATCCTGCAGACTGCGGACTTTATCTCATCATGACGCTTTGGCTGCACACTCCCCAACCCCCTCCGTCCATCCCTCCATCCCCCCTCACACACCTATTGAAAATGCACGGACTGTAGATTTATGACTTTCAGCTGACTGACTCTTACCCCCACAGATGGCCGAGGCTGAGAAATTAATCTCGCCCATATTGAGGGACCTGCGGGGGCCATATTTGGCCTTGTGGCGAGTCAAAAGGGCGCACAACAAAACGTGGCCGGCCAAAGAGGCCTCCAATAAAAAGAATGGGATAAAAGGTTCCCAGACAGTGACTAGTAGTTGGCTTTGTTAGGCTGGGGTCAGCCCGAGGTGTCCCCTTCACCACCACCATCTCTGCCTCTAAAGGCTGCTGCTTGGCTTAAAAAATGATGCTGGAGCAAAGCTGGAGGAGAGAAAAATGCGTCAGGGCTTTTAAACTAATGAAGGCAAATTATGCCTGATGCAAAATCGAAAAAAAGTGAAAGAGATAAGTGGGAATATGCTAAATCGAAAGCCCCCACACGAAGATAAAATCCCATCTGAGGATGCTGGTGGCTCCTCTGTGCGCTCTGCACGCCTGAATATACCAAAGATGAGCTCCCTTCTGTCCAAAAACACTAAATCACCAAATGCCATATATTTGAAAAGAAATCATCTTTGCACTGAGGAATACGCCATAAATCCTGAGCAACATCCATCAGGATTTCATGAGGCTTTTCTGCAGCTGCTCTCTGAGGATCCTGAAGCTCTGATGCTGGAGCCAAAACCTCTTAATAACTCCCGTGATGCAGACCTGCCATTACCTCTGCTTTACACAGCCTGTAATGATACTCTAATAAAGAGGAGAGGGGGGGAAATGCTTTAGCTTGGCCGGGATATTAAAGTGTGTATTTAATTGTATCATGGCTGACAGAGTTCAAGTGAACTGGAGATTATTTGAGTTTAATGTGTCAGGATTTATGAGTCGTTTGTTCAGACTATTTTACAATGAATGGCTGAAAAGCCACTCATAAGACACCGTATAGGTAATGAAGTGGCTTAATTCCACTTTCTCGTCAGATGAAATGACTTTTATGTTTGTCTCATGGACACTGGGGGTAACACCATTTAGCTAAAGACAATTTTTAATTATTTTATACGAAAAAAGCAGCATTTCTATTCATTCACAGGAGGAGACTCAGTAAATATGTCTGATATTGTTTTTAAAGGTTTAATTAATATTTTGTTCCATGTTTTTCTATTTTGTAAAAAGAATTGGAGCCACGTTGATGATCTGAATGCTGCAGCAGTGATTTAATTGGGGCATCAAATCAATCTGTAAGTTTACATGCACACCCATGCAGATTAGTGCATTGTTGTTGTGTATCCTCGTGATGCAGATGCAGATTTCTTTATCCAGACTTATCTGAGCCGACTTAAGTGCTGCTGGGGAATTGAATCCAGTGGTGTAATCACATTGTGTATCTCAGTGTGTGCAATGATCCGTTTGGGCAATCACAGATTGGAGTTTTTTCCTGCACAGCATTGCACAAATGTCAGTCAGGTACGGATTTGAAATGAAGGATTTAAAAAAGGGAGAACTGAACACAAAGGTGCTGCTTCTCATGGCAAAGCAGAGGCAGTGTAAATGTAAACAGTGCTGGGTTCTTCCTCCCAGTCCGTGGATGTTGATGGATGGTTAGTCATCGCCCATAGACTCCCCTAGAACCCAATCTGTGACTGAGGCATCTCCACACACATTCGGTTCTACAGGGTATATATAGGCGACGGCTCACTTCACGGCCGGCTGCTGATGACTTCTTCTTGTTGTCGACAGAGATTTAAACGCGTGTCGTCGTTCAGGCGTGATATTTCACTGAAGACGTTGCACCTTCTAATGTTCTCTACATATAGACACAACCTAACGTCACCATTCCACCGCTCCCTTCATTTTTTTTAAAAAGCATGTTCCTGTTGTTCACCATGTGATGGATCAGTGTCACTGTATAATTTACTGAAACCATTAACGGCGCTGTAGCTTTCTGACATCAATAACTCATTATGGGCACGGCACATTCATTTTGATGCATATGTGTAATTACTATATGCAAGTGAGGCTGTTGTGTTGTGGTGCCTGAACAATAATGCAAATTGGACAATGTGGAGGCTTAGTTTTGGAAATGCATGAAATCTGTGATGAAGAGGAGCGAATCAGATCTTCAGAAAAGGAAATAGACAAATGTCTTAATTGCGCCTGGTAAATGAAATATTAATGTTAAACACAAAAATGCATTTTGTGTCAGAAATACTTGGAAAAATCATTCACGATCCATGACGATGCATGATTCGGCACATTATTCCGTGGGCAGCTATAGTGGTGTCAGTTAGCAGCTGCTTCTATTCAGTCTACTACAATACAGCTGCTCAGCCATGTATTCTACTTTTACAAGTCTATAATTAAAGATTTTAATAGTTTCTTAAATGGATGTGTTTACGTCCATGTGTTTGTTAGTGGTTTGATTCGTCAGCAGGATTAGATAAAAACTACTAAATGGATTTCTACGAAAATTGGGCAATTAGATTGGACATGACCCAAGAAAGAGAAACATTTGGACATGAATCCAAACAAAGGGACGGATCCAGGAATCTGTTTATTTCTTTCTTTAACATTGTGAGGTTGGAGCTTTTTTTAACATTTTCACCATTTTTCTGCGCGGATTTCTGAGTTTGTACAATTTTTTGCCGCTTAATTGAACTTTTACGGGACTGTTGGCGAAGATATGCGCTGTTGTGCCGTTCTTGAATTGCGTTTCTTCTTATTTTATCTCGCAAACTATCACTGTAGTCCAGTACAGTTCCACATCGCTGCAAATTGTAACCTCAAAAGTAAACTGTTTATTTGAAATTGAACATTTGAATCTTTGTTGAGGTAGATTTCACTGAGTAGATGTTATATTTGATTACATTAGAGTTCTCAAGTGTATGAGATGGAAGACAAACCTGAATTATCAGTTAAATGTGAACACAGTTACAGATGTTCCCATTTGTGAGGCAAAAAAAACCCCCAACCTTTTATGTTTTGTTATTTTAAACGTGTAAAAAGTGTCACAGGCCACGGCAGTTTGTAAATGCAGCTCTTTCCCACATTCACGTGGCTCCATGTGGACAGAGCAGGGCTCCCTAATGACAACCTGCCAAAGTTGCTGGTAAACATACCAGCCGCAGTGCCTGACCTGTATGTTAATTGTGGGTAATGGTGATTTCTGAACTTGGCCTGGACTAAAGTGAGCGTCGCGGGGCTCAGACGATCGTGGCCCTGAGGCTGAATCTAAATTTCCCTGCCGAAGTGCATTTCTGATGCTCCACAGCTCCTGTAGACGTCCGTAACTCCACATCTGCCGCCAGTGAAGTCGCCACAGGCAACATCCAAGTAATAATCAGGCAGTGATGTCAATACAGTTGTTGTTATTGTCTCTTTGTAAGTTAGTTTTGCCTGGATGCGTATTAAATGAAGGGTTAAGATATATAATGTATTGATTCCCATCCTCTATTCATCAATGTTCAGGCTCTACTGAACATTATCCGCTGCTTTCTCCATTCTCATATTTAACCATGCATCACACACATACACAAATAACTGGTGTGTGCATGTGTATTTTTACTATAAACGATCCAGATTGCAAAGATATTTTCGCTGTCCTCTCTTGCCCTGCAGCAATCGCCCTGTGCTGTTTACATTTTACTAAATTCCCATGGCCATTTGAGCAGAGAGGCTGGTGAAGACTCAGCTCCGAACCATTTGTTGCTGGAGCCTTAAAAAGGCTTGAGTTGCATGGAGGGAGAAGAAGAAGGAGAAGAGGAGCAGAGAATGGGGAGCTGTTGTGCTGGAGAAAGCATTTTTAAATAATTGATTTTTAACAATTGACACTGATGTGGTTGAATAATGAATGTGCAGTGTTCGGAGCACCTTCCTGCAGATGTAGTCAGAAATCTCATTCACTCCAAAACTATTAATCCAGGCCTCCAGTGAGGGAAAAAAAAGGACTTTGACCTAAAACTTTCATTTTTCACTATTGTTCCAGCCCAGAGTCTTCTGCTAAAAGGGTTTGAAACCTGGAGTCATTAAGCTCACACCTTCTGAATGGGGCTGCTCTGAACTTTTAGAGGCAACAACAACAATAACAACGGAGTGATGCTTGGGCTTCTTTTTTTTTTTTTTGAAAGAGCATTCTTCTTTAAGAATGTAGCCTAGCTGCCGTCAGGTCGCTGCAGGGTCAATCAGAAGCGTTGACCGCTGGTTCACCGTTTCATTAGTCCTGGAGCTGGACAGGGCCACGCAGGGGCCCGGGCTGGGGACCACGCAGAGTTCACGCGGACTGCGGGAGTCGCGGGGCCCATTGTTCCGCCGGTCGCTCCCTCTGCTCAGATTATTGTTGTGCAAAGGCAAAAAGATTAAAGGGTTAAAGTGTTGAGTTAATGTCCGATTATAATCATCTCAGATTAGGATTTTATGTGTTCTGCTGCAGCTTCTCCTCCTCGCTCTCCATGTCTCCTATTTCAATTATCAATTATTGGCTGAGTATTGATTAACGTCACAGTCGTTTTAGGACTGATATCCCTCCACTAACAACGTTTTGCAGACATGAATCGAACACGTCTTTCTGTGGAACCCGGACACGTTATTTTATTCTCTTAAAAATAATGTTCGAGCATCTTCACCAACATTGTTATAACCGCTCTGATGACGTCCTCTCCTCCTCGCGCCGGGTTGTGATATAAGGCCATTCAAACGTGGCTTTTCTTTCTCGGGGTCGTTTCACTTTTTCATCTTAGACAGGCTGACCGCCGGCTCACCCCTCCGCCCCCGGCCCTGTGCCGGGTCAAAGCCGAGCTGAGAGCAGCTTTAACCCGGTTTAGACATTAACTGCGACCTCCAGCCCCGCATGGGAACCCGCCTGCACCGTCCCGCACTGACCGGTGCGGTGTGAACGCGTGGATTCAGACTGTACATTATGATGAGGGCTGTTTTTTAAATGGAAAAAAATGAATCGCAGATGGAACTGAGTTGGATTTTAAATACGTGTATATAGTAACTGCACTTTAGATATTTGGACATTTTATTTATAGGCATTAGATCGATTTATTGGCTCTGCAAGAATATAATGAAATAACGTGACACATACTATAATTACAGGTGAATTTCGATTATACATCTGTATAATATAATAT